TTATTTTTATTTTTGGTCCGTTAATTTCTCTGGCATTCCTACCAAGGGTAACTGTCGCCGAAAGAAAGATGTCATAACTAGTACTGAAAGTGTTAGTAAGTTTTAAGATCAAATAAACATAGTTGATAATTGTATTTACATAATTTACATTAGGACTATTGCCCTCATTATTTTTGTTGTTGTCTCAAGTTTCGGCCGTTGTGTCCCCCGGCCTTCATCAGGTGTTTGTCGATGAGGGTTAACATTCGAAGAATTTTGAACTGGACCTTTTATTTAATCTACAGAGGAAGATTGTTCTCGTCCGGCTGTCCAGGTCTAGAGATATGTCGTCTAGTTCTTATTTTTTACTACTGCTCACTTATTCATCATACTGTCCGGCTCTGGATTGAACTCACAATTATTACATTAGAAAATTCAAACTCAAATGATTTCCAAGAAATTGTAATAGAAATCATGAGAATTCTCGTGCAAATAATAACGAGACTTCGCCTCGAATTCTTTATTTAAAACTTGTTCATATTTTAAACGTTTTCGGTATTTGCCGAGACTTGATTGAGCTACTGTCTGTAATTTTATGTCGAGGTTTAGATTGAACATCTGCCATTTTGAATGTACTGCTGATTATCGTTTGATATTTAGATCGCCCGCATTTAATCATTTTGCTTGATTTTGTATCCAGTTTATTTTGTGCGCATATGCGGAATTTTACAATGATTCATGAAAACTGATCTTGGACGAAGGATACAGTGAAGTTCTTTTTTTAATGGTCAGGATTGTTTGGAGTAAGTTTCTGAAAATGTTACACATTGAATTTAGTGGAAATTTTATTGTAAACTAGCAGATTTTGCCCGCTCGCCATCGCTTCGTAAAGTAAGATATATTTACTACTTGAAATCTTTCAAAAAAAAATTTAAATGATCATTTCATTCATGAATGGACTTGTTATAGTTAAGGAACGTTTTACAAATAGATGCTAACTTGAAGGCCAAGTAAAATGCAAATTTCAAACACCTTTGTGCACTATATAAGGCAATATTCCTAAACAGAATTATTTTTTATATGAAAATCAAAACAATACTCGAATAAAAGAACAGTAATGAAGGACAGTTAATTAATGAAATATACTTTTTAAAAATCAATATGCAAATTAGTTAACCATGAAAAGTGATATTGCTTAGATGTAGATAATATATAATACAGATATTGAGCTATAATTTTCTATAAAGTAGAGTGTGTGAGAGGATTGAGCTAATTTTGCAGTAATTCATATAGATTAACAAATAAGCTAGGAGTTTGTTTTTTTTTACTGTTAGTTCATCCAATACAAGGCCGCTCAAGGCAGAGGCTTACTGAGAGATGAAAAGCGAGGTGGAAAGGGGGAAGTAAGAGAGTATTATGAGGGCAGTTAGGGAAGATATAAATTGACTCTGGACTTAAAGCAACAAAACTTTTAGTTGTCAGGGAAGCATTCTCTCAGGAGTTATTTCACAAAGTGTCAGTTCTAAGGAAGAAGATGTTTATCAAAGAAACACGAAGAGAAAGGTGGTGGTTTGTCACTGGGGACATGGTATGGGGGTTTCTAAATGTAAGGGTCTAGACTGGTAGAACTCAGGCATTTAACCTGCCGTTGTATAAGCAATAAAGTAGGGAAAGGCTGGAAACGTTTCGTCTGTGGGATAAGGATTGAAATGTGGAGAATAATTTATTACTCACAAGACTGAGTAAGTGCTTTTGAACTTTTTCGAGGCAAGACAATGAGGATAGGGAAGTACCAGACATATATAGAAGCAATGTTCTATTCTTGGCCTGATCTGACTCTTCTCACGATAGAACATGGTAGCAGGTATCTGTTTATATTTCGAAGATGAGGTATTATGTACACTATTTACATTATTCGGACTTTCATCTTTGCCGCCATATTTATTACAACGCTTCGGCCGTTGTACGCTCCGGCCTTCGTCAGATGATTGGAATTTTCGAACTGAACCCTTTATTTCTTCCACCGGGGTAGATTTCACAGTTCTAGCATTACTCTTTCTTTGTCAGCCGAAGATGTTTTCATCCCACCCCGTACTTTTCAAGTCTTCTTTGAACAGTCAGAGATCAGATTACGAGCAAAGAAACAGTGCAATTATTGATAAGAATACTTTGAATTAATGAATGCAAGTTTCACAGTTCTAGTATCTGTCTATATTTCTGAGATGAGGTATTATGTACACTATTTACATTATTCGGACTATTGTCCTCATCTTTGTCACCATATTTATTACAACGTTTCGGCCATTGTACGCTCCGGCCTTATTCATTATCTGTCTATATTTCTTAGATGGGTTATCATGTACACTATTTACTTTACTCGGACTATCGTCCTCATCTTTGTCGCCATGTTTATTACAACGTTTCGGCTGTTGTACGCTCCCGCCTTCTTCAGGTTGTTGGAATGTCGAACTGAACCCTTTATTTCGCTGACTGGGGTAGACTGTTCTAGTTCCACGTGCCATGTTTAATGGATGTCAGTTATCAGTTATCTCCTGCTAATTTCCCTCTGCAAGTTCCTCACTGTCTTAACTGGTTATTGAACTCACACTCTTTGGGTCCTGTAACTGGATCTAACTAACGCCTTTATCCACTGTGCCATGTGTCCTCAAGAGTGTGAGTTCAATACTCGGTTAAAGCAGTGAAGAACTTTCAGAGGGGAACTAACAGGAGATAACTGACATCCACTTGAAAGGAACAAAATTAAAAGACGTCGAGGAAATCCAAGAAGATGCGACAGGGCAGCTGCTCGCTATCTCCAAAAAGGAGTTCCATCCTTGGAAACGAAGCTCACTGGGCTAGACTGTTCTAGTAACACGTGCCATGTTTAATGGATGTCAGTTACCAGTTATCACCTGTTAATTCCCCTCTGAAGAAGGCCGAAACGTTTTAATAAATATGGCGACTAAGATGAAGACAATAGTCCGAATAATGTAAATATGGTAGCAGGTGTTAGATATTTTCTAGAGGGATAGAATGAACCGGACATTTTCCTAGCATCTTTTGTGATATCAGAATGTACTCGCTCCAAGTGAGGTCTGGAATGAGCTTTAGTAGGCGTTCGAGGGAACGAGCCTCTTTGAAAGTAGGACCGCTCATCAGAGATGTTGGAAATACGGGGTCTGCTCTGTGATGACGAAATGCTACGAGTTTAGTTTTGGATCTATTGAATGATATCAGGCGGCTTTGCCCCCTTTGAAGCATCAAAAAATGATTCTATAGTGAATATTTGGTAAAATAATATTTGATTTGTTTTTACGGCTTATCAACCCCTTTGTAGGTTATTTAAAGCCTAAACATATCTTGGATTGCAAAAATAATTATTTCTATTTGGTTGCGATTTCATATTGCATTAATAAGTTTTTGAGAATAACAATGATTTTTAGAAATACAATTTCTACTAGTTCACCCATATCTGTGGTGAGGAGATGAATATTTGCTCGTAAGCGAATGCAATGAAAGCTACTGAAATTTGAACTCGGCTCTCTGATTTACAATTCCGAGCCGCTATCCATCACACCACCCACACATCCCCTGATACAAGAAAAGCATAAGAAATGAAGAAAAAGGGAATGTAATGTTAGGAACAATATATAATTGCGTGCGAGCATGATTCTGTGATAAAACCATGTCTATCTAGAGAATCATATATATATATATATATATATATATATATAGAGAGAGAGAGAGAGAGAGAGAGAGAGAGAGAGAGAGAGAGAGAAAGCGCCAGGAACAAAAAGACCGAAAAATGGTGGGAAAATATGGTGAAGGGTTATCGGCACCGAAAATATAGGAATCAAAAAAATTAAATTTCAGATTAAGTTCAGAGTTCATAACTCGGACATTTGATGATGATGGAAAGAATTCTGTGTTGACATGAGAACAGTATGAGAACTCAAGAAAACAGAAGAAAAATAACAGTACATTATTACGTGCTTGTATGATAAAATGCTATCAATCTATCATCTCTATCACACACACACACGCACACACACACACACACACACACACACACACATATATATATATATATATATATATATATATATATATATATATATATATATAAATGTATATTTGGGCAACAACTTTTCTTTGAAGCATCTTTCGATAAATATGGTAGAAAAAGAAAACTTAATTAATTTTTCATTTAGTTTTTCCAGCGTTCCTTCATTTTTCCATTTGCTAGGAGTAAGGGACATTTTTCCATATCGTCTAATGCCCCAAGCGCTTTCGGCCACTTCTTTAGACATTTTCAACGGGGTTGTTTTTAAGCGTTGTTAATTTCTTTTCATGTTTCACTGTTTAAGATTTATTTTTTGTATTGTTTTGAATACTAATAGCAGCATTTATTCTGAGCCTTCACGGGTTGAACGCAGCTGGAATTCTAGTGAGTTTTTTTCTATTTTAAAAAAAAAAAAACTTTCATACCATTCCCACCGTTTAATATGTTTTTCCTTACTCCCAACAAACGGAAAAATGTAAGAACGCAAAAAAAACTAAAAAAAAAAAAAGAAATTAATTAAGACTGTAGACCACACCATTTACTTCATATTAAAGTTTATTTCATCTTACTAATTATTTATTTTTATACCTTATCTAATTATCAACTTTATATATATATATATATATATATATATATATATATATATATATATATATATATATATATATATGTATAATGTATTTTTAAATACATATACTCTAGCAGTGTGAAAAAACACCGAATAATATAATTTGTAAATAAAAATATATTTGAACAAACCGATATCAGGGAAAAAATTCAATAAAAAAAAGAAAAAACTAAAAACATCCGTGATGAACGAAATAATCAATCAGCACCGCAATGCCTAGTTAAAAGAAAAATCACTAACAGAGTAAAGTAAGTAAAATTGTAAAAGTACTCAATACATTAAAAAAAACAAAAAAAACCCCAAAAAACTAGTGAACCAGGACCCCTATACCAAAGTTTTACAGGTAGAAAGAAAGAAAGTGAAGAAACTGAGATAGATAGATATTGAATAGATAGATAGATAGATAGATAGATAGATAGATAGATAGATAGATAGCATTTTATCATAGAAACACGTAATCACGCATTTGGTAAAACTGGCCAGTTTTAATCTGAAAATCCGTTTTGGTGAAACCTTGGTAGCTATGTCCTGGTTCACTAGGTTTATATATATATATATATATATATATATATATATATATATATATATGTAGATATAGATATATATAATGTTAGTTTGTGAGACGTACACTATAATAATATGTATATATATATAATGTTAGTTTGTACAAATAACAATACCGAATACTTAGATTATTTTTTTACTTTTTTATGTTTTAGCAATTCACCCCAAGTAAAGCTGGGGTGCCACTAGCACGAGTACGAACGTGTTTACAGAGGATTGAGAACAATATTAAAGAAGTGTTTGTGAGGAAATGATACAGAGAAGGACAGGGAACAAGCTCAGGGTGTCAGATGTCGATTGACATTACACTTGAATATTTGAAGTTTATAGTCATCGGGGAAGCAAGTAAGGGAAACGGAGCTCCACAGACGGTAAGTGCTAGAGAATAAGCTGTTTGAATAGAAGAGGCAGTTACATTTAACCGTTTTGACGGTGAAAAGGTGGGATCGAGATCCCAGCGTGGTAGCTCACTTAAATTCATGCAGTCTGGGATCCAGCGAAAGAAACCCGTCGGAAAAGTTGCTGTGATAATACTTGTAGAAGATGTTATGAGATTTTATAGCCTGAGAATGATTCTTATTGAAGTATATCGATATCTGCAGAAGCGTTCGATTATCGTAAAGGGTAAGTCGTCATAGACATTATTTTGAACTAAAATTATGACGCTGGTATCTAAGAGGCCAACGCAAGTCAACGAAAGTATTTCATACGTCAGTTACTCTTTCAAGTGCTGTCAAAAATCGCCAGTCAACAACGAGTGAAAAGAAATAACCATGAAGCTATTTCCTATTGATTTTTCATCGTCTTCTCGACAAATTGGATAACCATGTGTTTCATAACTCAGCTGGAGACTGTTTGGCACCAATTGTAGTCACTATTAAACCATTTTTAGCCCTTTTGATGAATCAAAAAGGGGGTTGTTATAGTCGGGAAAACAGAGGGGTGACTGAAAAGGTGAGGATGGAGGAGGAAAAATAGTGAAAGAAAATAATATTAAGAGAAATATCGAATGAAAAGAGAAAAAACAGTCTAAGAAATAAAACGTCGATAAATAGAGCTTTTAAGATGATTATTAAAAAAAATAGAACAAGTGTAAGAATGACGATGAAGTAGAAGAGGAGGACGATGAAGGAAAAAAAGAAGAGCACGATGAAGAAAGAAAGAAGAGCACGATGAAGGAAAAAAATAGGAAACGCAAGATGAAGGAAAAAAAAAATAGAGAAGAAGGAAAAAACGGAAGAAAAAAATAAGAGCAGAAAGAATAAAAATATTATGAAGAAAACGGTATAGAAAAAAATATGAAGAACACGATAAAGAAAAAAAAATTAAGAATAGCACGATGAACGACAAAAATAAGAGCATAATGAAGGATAAAAAAAATAAGAAGAGTAAGATGATGCAAAACATTAAGACTAGCACTATGAAGGAAAAAGGAGGAACACGATGACAGAAAAAAATAAGAATACCACGAGGAAGAAAAAATTATCAAGAGCACGATGTAGGAAACAGAAAACGATGAAGGGAAAATAAGAAAAATACGATGCGGTAAAAAAAAGAAAGCAAGCGTAGAATGGAAAGAAGTGTAAAAGAAATAAAAAAGAAAATGCGTTACATAAAAAGAAAGAGAAGTGTTCGTTAATAGTATAATAAGAAGAATAAGAATAATAAAAAGGGCTGAATTAGGAAGAAAAACGCATAGAAGGATACATGTTCATTTACGAAGTAGAAAAATAAAAATACATAGGACAAAAGGAGAATGTCTTCGATGAAGAGAAGGAAAGATTCATTTTAAAATAATATTAGTATTCGAAGTAGGAATATTAGAAGAAGAAGAAGAAGAAGAAGAAGAAGCAGAGAATGACACGTAAAAGAAAAAAGCGTGTTTAATAATAATAATAATAACACTAATAATAATGAGAAGAAGTAGAGAATGAAGAAACGAGCAACGGATAATGATACGAAGCAAAGCTAGAAGAAAAAAGGCAACAACAACGCAGAGAAGGAAATGGTTCAAAAGATGATGATGATGAGGAGGAGGAGGAGGAAGAAGAAGAAGAAGAAGAAGAAGAAGAAAAAAGAAGCAAAGAATGATGCGTAAAAGGAGAAAAAGTTTAATAATAATAATAATAATAATAATAAGAAGAAGAAGAAGAAGAAGAAGAAGAAGCAGAAGAAGAAGAAAAAAGAAGTCGAGAAAGGAGAAAAGAGCAACGAATAAAAAGACAACGATGTACAGAAGAAAATGTTCATTTAATAATAAGAAGCAAAGAAATCTAGAATGGAAAAAGGCGACAGCAACGCAGAGAAGGAAATGGTTTAAAAGATGATGATGATGATGATGATGATGATGATGAGGAGGAGGAGGAGGAAGAAGAAGAAGAAGAAGAAAAAAGAAGCAAAGAATGATGCGTAAAAGGAGAAAAAGTTTAATAATAATAATAATAATAATAATAAGAAGAAGAAGAAGAAGAAGAAGAAGAAGAAAAAAAAAAGTCGAGAAAGGAGAAAAGAACAACGAATAAAAAGACAACGATGTACAGAAGAAAATGTTCATTTAATAATAAGAAGCAAAGAAATCTAGAATGGAAAAAGGCGACAGCAACGCAGAGAAGGAAATGGTTTAAAAGATGATGATGATGATGATGAAGAAGAAGAAGAAGAAGAAGAAGAAGAAGAAGAAGAAGAAGAAGAATCTACAACGGCACAGAGAAGGGGAAGCTTTGTTTAAAAAATGAAGAAAAACGAGACCGAAGAAGCTGGACTGTTGAATCAAAATGTTGAAATGAAATGAAAGTAAATACTGCAGACGAATCAGTATTTGATGAAGTTAATTACAGACGCGTGGATAAGACGAAATACATATAGCAGTGACGATTCCATTAGTCAGGTGTCAATGCCTTACTTACATAAATGAATGTAAAAAAATCCAACAATTTTTTATAAAATCTATTCTCATAAATTAATAGAATTATTGTTTATTACCTAAAAAAATTCGCTGGCTTTTTCCAACAACTTTCAGCTGAAACGGGTATTTCACACACTCATAAAAAAATGTTGTCAATATACTAAAAACTTTTGCGTACGCTTCTATTATTATAGTTATTATCGACACAGCGTTTCGGTAATGTACCCTATGGCCATCATCAGGTGTCTATTGTTTGGCTGATATGTTATTAGCTTAGTGAGTATAGGAGCTATTAGCCAAGTGTTACTGTCATCTAGGTGTTGTGAGTTCATTCTCTGGGTTAAGTTTGTTATACCTGACGTACCTATTCTATTGTTAATAGACTCACCCACACATAATAAGTAGTAGTAGTAGTAGTAGTAGCGGTCGCCAGTTTCGGCTCAGTGGTGTTGAGCGAGTCAGTCGATATCCGACATTGAAGTACCAACCATCACAACTAGATTGCTGCGTCATTTACTCTTATTTCAAGTACCTAACGTTTTGTACGTCGAACCTAATTTAGAACGACCTATTGAAATACAAACCTCCACTGTGAAAACTACTCTACAACAAAGTTTAACAAGAACGAACAGTAATACAGACCTCATGATAGGCATTGTTTTCTTTTTTTTAATCAGGTCACCTCAAGCAAGGTGGGAATGTCACTAGTATGTAATGGGGCTACTGGGATTGAAAGTGAAAGAAAAGACTGAGTATAGGGAGGATTGAGGAAAGAACAAAAGATGAACGGGATGCAAGAAGACAGAAGATGGCGATTGATGCTGCATTTAAATTTTGGAGATTGTAGTTATCAGGGAAGCAAGTAAACGGAAGGGAGTTCCACGGGTAGGAAGTGCGAGAAAAGAAACTGATGTGTAGAAGTGGCGGTTGCATTTCGCTATTTCCCCAGTAAAAAGGTGGGCACTAAAGTAAGAATGAATAATATTTTTTTACTTGGACGAAACATTGTGTATAATAGCATCTATAATAACCAAGATCATAAAAACATTTCGAAATAATTATATAAAAAGATACCATCCATTTTTGAATCGATGGAGTTAATTTAGCAATCTTCTGATATAATAAGCCAGACGACCACATAGGAATGTGGAAGGTAATTCTTGCCAAGAATAGTCAATATGTGCTAAACTTTATCATCGGAGTTCCATGAAGTTTTGCTATGTCGCAATGGCAAAATAAAATCGATGCAGCCACAAAGCAAAGCAAAAAAAAAAAAGAGATTTCTTTGGAAAATATTATTTTATGTTCTAAAGCGTTATTCAAACGAGTCAATTACTCACTATATACCGGCACAGTAAAAAAAAAAAAATGTCCAAAAACCAGTAATTCCTAATAAAAATTGCATTGGCTTTCACAAAAAACATTTCTGTCCTGGGTATGACAATAAATTACATCCACGTCCTGGGTAAGATGATAAATTACGTCCAACAGGAAGAGGTTTTGAGGAGCGTGGAACCACCTCTTTTATGCTGGTGTTCCCAGGTTCACCCTGACCCGGGGTGGTAGCCCCTGTTAGGGTCCCATCTATGGACAAATAGTTAACTACTAAACTAGGCTCAAAACACTATGAAAGTGGAAAAATTAGGTTTTAATACCAGAAACACTTTGTAAAAAAAAAAAATAAATAAAATACAGCAATACATTTTTAGAAAAAAAAATATTACCAGCAATACATTTTTGGAGAAAAAATATTACCAGAAATACATTTTTGAAAAAAATGTTACCAGCAATAAAAATTTTGTCGGCATTAAATAACCCATTGAGGTTGATATGACATAAAACAAAATAAACCAAACCAATCTAAACCAAAGAATACATGCTCTATTCATACGAATCTATCCTAAAAATGTTGTTGGCATTAAATAACCCATTGAGGTTGATATGCCGTAAAACAAAATAAACCAAACCA